GTTTGCAGTGACTTCAACACAGCTGCTTTTAGCATCATTGTTGAATTGCTTTTTATCTTGTCTCTGTAGAGCCTTGAGTTTTACATGAGCAGCTTTTCAGTTAACTGAATATCTCCTAGGCCAAAGTGCCTATGAGTATGGTGCCAAGGAGATGTAGAGAACCATGCCAATCCATAGTAATCCAGCATACACTATCGATCAGATGCAAATAATGTAGCATCTCCAGTATTGAGCACCTCTAATTCTTCTGTTGGCTGCTATAGTCAAGGGATGCAGACGGCTGGTTCTGCTTGGTTCAGTGTGAGACCTGGTAAACCTTACTTGATACGGCATGTTTTGGTCCCATGCTTAAAAAGGAGATCCCAGTGAACAGAGCTATCAAACCGGTGCCCAGAAGAAGCCCAGCGTTCTATGAAGGTGGTGTCCCAGCCACTGGAGAAAGTGATGATGAATTGCTCTGATCTGTTCTCCCCTCTGCCTGCCATGTACTGTCATTAGACAAGTCTAACTCCTCACAATGTATGGATAAAAAGTTTAATATATTCTTTAGAAATTGGATTACAGATTGGAAAATTGAGAGAAAAGTCATTCTGTTAGCAAAATGTTTTAACTTCCCATTCCTGGAAATGTGAAACATGTTTGCAGAGAAGGTTTGTCTGTATCCAAAACATTTTAATAAAGTTTTTTTTAAAAAAAAATCTTCATACTTGCTGAACTGAATCTGGCCATAAGCCTATTACCTAGTTGTAAACACGCTATGAGGCATGCAGTGCCTGGACCACAGGAGTATTCTAGGTCTGTTAAAAAACAAATAGAACATGGATCACATTGCCTCTGACTGAACATACATTCTGCCATTGAGGGAGTTTACTTTGTCATTCTACAATGCAAATATTTTGAATATCAGGCTATGAAGCTCTCACTGCTTCAAGAATAAAGGAGAAGAAACCACTTCTCTAAGTAAACTTGTCCAAAAATGATTTTGGAAACTATTAAGAAGCTGGATTTTATTCAGAAGTTTAGAAAGAAGCATGACTTGAACAATGATATCACTTACACCCCATTTCCATTAAGATACTTAAGCTAGATTCCATAAATAAGAGGCTGTCCTCCTGAGACAGAAACCAAAGCAGTGGGTTTAATATACTTTTAAATATATTGGTTGTCTTAACTGTAATCAAAATGGCCCTCTATCTTACTGGATACCGGATGTGTGTGTGTGTTTACATAAACACATTCTCCACATTAGGCAGGAGTGCCCTGTGTTTAATTTAAAGCAGGGTTTTGTCATTAGTAGAACAATGGTTGGCAACTGCTCTCTTAATGAATGGTAATACGAATGAGCCACAGGCAGGGACATAGCTGCTGTGGGATGAATTTGCTCCTTGTCAGTGTTGGACATAAATCTTGCTTCACCCTAAAGGTGCACTTGAGAACAGAAAAGTAGGGTTACCACATGAAGAATAAAGTACAGGTCTTTTGGCCTTGTGGCTGTCCAGTGACTGCATCTTCCCCCAGTTGACGTGAGCAACTTTCACAGTGTTGAGGGGTGAGAGAAGAGGTAGAAAACGCAAGATCTTTGCGCGACAACATTACAAGTAGAACCTGTTGCCAGAGTGCAGCTACCATTGTCGTGTATGAGCTGAGAGCTATAGACCTTGCAAGCCTATAGCTTCTAGTTATGTTGGCCTATGTTCAAGTCTCAGCAGAAGTGTTTAAAACTGTGATACAATCTGAGTGTGTCCTTTCCACTAAATGCTTGTTTTGTGCTTTTGTTCCAAATGTATCCACGTGCTCTTATTTCAAAAACAGGCATTCAACCTGAATTCATCATCTCCATTCTGTCAAAGTGATATGCAAGCACCTTCGTTCTAAGATAAGCAGAAGTTTTCATCTGAAACCTGAGCTTTATAAAGGTGCTATGTCAGGAAAAGTTAAGATGATGAAAAGAAAATGATATTCTCTGATGTGGTTCCAAGTTCTAACATTTCTACCAGGCAAAAATGTTTCCTTTCTAAGCATCTTGGCAAAGATCAAGTTTATCATGGCGTAATGACCAATATTTACAATAGCCTTTCATAGTTAAATACAGCATTTCTTTGATTAGCAGGAAGATGTTATTGCACTCATGTCCTACCCTGAGGAAGCTGGCAAAGCAATGCGTAAACAGAATGCTGGCCTAGATGGACCTTTGGACTGATCTCGCATGGCTCTTCTTGCATCTGTCCAATTTTGCACTTCATACAGCCTAAGCCAATGATGGAAGTAGAACAACGCAATCCCAGCAGCAGGGGAGGGCAGCCCAAGATTATCATCATCATCATCATCATCATCATCATCATCATTATTATTATTATTATTATAACATTTCTATGCCGCCCCTTGCCGAAACCTCGGGGCGGCTTACAACATGATAAAATACATTGAAATACAATAGTACATAATAAATTACCATTAAATGTAAAAATACAAAAAAATACATTGATTTACAAATACAAAATTAAAATTATCAGTATAAAATAAAAATATAGGAGGAGAAAGAGAAGGAAGAAGAAGTTGCCACTGAGAAAGCCAGATGGTGTTGCTGGATCTGTTTTAGATCTTTTGGAGGAACTCCAGGTCCAACTTAGTACCTTTATCCCAGTCTTCAGCCCTGTACAACATGTGAACAACCACCGTGGTGATGTACAAGGGCAAATTTTACCAACTGCCTATTTCTGGGGTGGGGTAGGGTGGAGTGGGTTGTATAAAACCCTTGGAACTAATTGTCCTGATTCCCATAAGTTTGGTGGCAATTATTTGATATTTCCAGGTAAAGCATCAAAGTTCAGAGCCAAGTATTTAAAGAACCACACTTGTTCTAAAAGGCATCCATTTGTGGTCCTGGAAATTGTTTCCCAAAATCATAACTTGAGGTGTTTAGAACCTGACAGCTTTTCTTCTCTTCATAGTTGTCCAAAATTAAACAGCATCCTCTTTAAGGCCATTCAGGTTATAGTGATCAGAACAAAATCATCAGCAGAAAGCAGCACTGATGCCATAGCTGCCTGAAGAATGCTGGAAGGTATAGGCCTTTCTTCTTGAAACATGCATAGGATTGCACTCTAGGAGGATTTTAATTCTCAAGTGAAATCTCACACTTTCTCCAAAGATGCCACTAAAGTGGGAACTGAGGTTGGGTATAAGAATGAACTCAGTAATGTTGCACCTGCCCATTGCGTTACAGAATTTATGCTCACAGCCCTAAGTAAGAGCTAGACCCAAGCTCTTGCAGTTATGATGAAAGGAAACCCTACATTCATTTATGCTCCCTTTAATTCTGACTAAAATTCAATTTGCCTCCCTTGTCCTAACGTTCCTTGTTTAGTCTGCCTTTCTAGGTAGTCATTGTCACTAAGTAAGGTCTCAATATGTGTATGTTCTAAATCTTCCTATACACCCTTCAGCACATGGAATCAAAATTCCTGAGGTCTGGAAAATTTAGTAGAATCCCTGTCCCAGTATCAAATTGAAGCAATTGTTCAAAGCAGCCCCCCCCCCCCGCCCCATTCTGAGCCAGTGGGCACATTTTAAATGTTGGAGCTTCCTTGGGCACTCTCACACAATCGCTGCCATAGAACCGTACTCATATAAAAAGTGGCTGCTAGAGCCATCACAAAAAGCAAACTACGGAGGTTATTCAAACAAACAAACAAACTTGTTCAAGGCAGCGATGGCATCTGGATTCCAAAACACAAAATCCTTCTTTGGAATCTAACAGTATTCAGTTCTAACATCCATTTCACAGAAGCCAAACTGATACCTTTGGAGATGAGTAACACGAGAGCTCCAGTCCAGGACAGCTTGAGGGCACCAGGCTGGCAAAGGCCCACACGGAGGGGGCTACTCCTAAGCACGAGCCACCCGTGGGAGGAGGAGTGCCCCGTCGCGGACTCCTTCGGTCGTGTTTGCCTATTAGGAAGCGCCACGATCACCAGGCACGCGTGAGCAAGGCTGTCCTCTGTACCGAAAAGAAGCAGCGGGAGCTCTTCTTATTCGCCCATTTTCCCTTCCAGATTTCCCCCACTTCAGGAGGAAATCTCAGGCAGCTGAAGCACGCTGCGTGTGGTGGGGGTTAAACGCTCCGTATACTATAGGGAAAACCGCTTCCCTCGGGTGCTAATTTGCCCGTCTTGGACACTGCGAAGTAACGGGTGCAACCCAGACCCACTTAGCCGAGAGTAAGCCCCACCGGCCTTCTTTCTGCATGGGGAGGGCTGCGTTCAAACCCGTTTGTCGGAGGAGGAGTGTCTTCCTTCGAGGAGCCAAAAGAATGACAGCGTTGGAAGGATGCCTTACGCAAGAATAATTTCCATGGCTTACTCCGGGAGCACGGCTCCTCCACTGGGTTATGAAGTAATGTTTGTGGTTGTGTTCAGGTAATTCCAGAGCTGTGTTCTGCTTGGTCAGGTTCTTTTCAGTTGTTTTGGACCACCGGCTTGAGTAGATGGGAAGTGAAGTCTACGAGATATACGGATGAAGGATTCAGGTTATGCGCGCACGCTTCCCTTTGCAAGTTTGGCCTTTTGGGGAAAGCTGGCATTCTCTCCATCCGCTTTCAGTAGAGTAACCTGTTCAGCCTGGGGCACTGCCTGGTGGATGATGGGACCTGTACGCCAATACAGCTGTAGGACACCAGGTTTGGGAGAAACTCCGTACTGCAGAGGGGTGATGAGATGGAAGCTGCAGGGCAGCCGGCTGGGACCAGCGAGCTGCACCCCGGGGCGCCTCGCAAACCCTCCGACCAGCTCCCGCGCAATGAAAACTTAGCCGGGGCTCCAGCAGCCGCCAATCGCAGAGGACGTCTTAGCCGCACGAGTCGTATCAACCAATCGCAGCTCCTCTGCTCGGCCAATGAGAGCGAGCCCTTCTTCGGCCACCTGACTTTGCTCCGCTCTGCTTATTCTGGCCCGACTTGTTCCTTGTCGCTTCGTGGAGGCGGTGCTTCTGCCGCTTCCAGGACTTCGTTCCCGGATGGACTTGTGCAGCTGATCGGCGGCGAGGCTCCCCTGACCCGGGTGCCTGCGAGTTGTACCCGAACAGGGGCGAGCGTCGGGGGGCAGTTCCCACGTGCCCAGCTGGAGATCCTTCAGCCTCCGAGCGCTTTTTGCAGCCCCCCAACCCTTCGCAGGAAGTCGCCCCTCCGCACCGCGCCTCTTTCCAGGCAGTTCACCGTCCCACCGTGGATGCAGCCCTCTTTCCCCGGAGCTGCTAAGGTAGACCGATTCTTTCCCGCATGGCTGGGACTCCGAAGCTGACAGCAGAGAAGGTGGGCTGTATTGTCCTCGTGTCACACTCACCTGGTGCCTCCGCCGAGGCGGTCAGTCCTTCGCCCCAGGGCCCCTGGAGTGGCAGTGGCATCGTCTTGGCTCAGCACCCGGGCATCGTCCTCTGCCATGGGCTCATCTTCTCCCCTTTCCTTCTGGAATCCGAGCAGCGACACTGGTCCCAGCGCGAGGTCCTGCTGCCAGAATCTTTCTCCCCAGACCTCCAACTCCAGGTGCTCCGTCCGAATGACTGCAACAGGAAAGCTCTTGGCAGGAGTTGGCCCAGGAGGGACTTGGGAGACAGTGCCCCAGCTTTGAGCTTTAACCCGCTTTCGATTCAGCATGAGACATCCAGCAGCCTAAACTGCCACGAGGCTGAGCTCATCATGATGGTGCCCTGTTTGCAGTTCCAGGATGCATTCTCCAAACTCTTCAGTGCTTCTGATCAATGGCATTTTGAGGGGAATGACGTTGGACAGGATGACTTGCCTTTCCTCCACTGTTTTGCCCTGCTGAGGATCTTGGATAGCGATTTCCGCAGCACAGGCCCTGTGAGCTGCATGTCTGCCAAGCTGCTGCAGAAGGGGGACCCGGTCTTTACCTGTGGCTCTCCTTTTGGATCATTTTGCCCAGATATTTTCTTGAACACGCTCAGCAAAGGGATTGTGAGCAACATGTCTGGAGAAGGCAATGCTCTAATCCTGACTGATGCACGCTGCTTGCCTGGCACTGAAGGTGGGGGTGTCTTTGCAACTGTGGGAGCTGGTTTCCACCTCGTAGGGATCATCGTAGCTCCGCTTTGCTGGAAATCAAATGAATGGGTTGGCTTAACTCTGGTCTGTGCCATCGACCACATTCTTGAGAGTATCAGGAGTGTCCTTTCAGGGCTTTGCTGGTGTCCAGAAGCCTGGTCAGACCCCATGGAACTTGTGACTAAGGCTCATGGAATGACGGTAGCCAGAGAAGGGCCAGATCAGCCAATGCTGGCTGCTGTGGTTCTGGTTGAATGTGGCCCGATCTGGGGGTCTGGCATCATTGTCAATCCAAGGCTTGTCTTGACCTGTCAGCATGTGGTTGCTGGAGCGTCTACTGTCAGAGTGCGGTCACAGCCTGGCCCAGAAAAGTAAGTCTGCATTCTCATGTGCAAAGTGTCTTAGCTTTCTTGGCTCTGCTACATTCCTTAGCCTGTTTCTTTACATAAGGGGTGAGCAAGTTGGCCAAATCATCTGGAGGGTCACAACAAATCCCATCAACCCTCACCTTTGACTGTGCTAATAGAAGTCGAAGGAAGGCCAAACACATTTGGAAGGCTACCATTTTTCCACCTTTGCATATTCACCTGGTTTGCATATTAGGACAACTCAAGTGTATAGACTGTTGGGTTCTGACTTCTTATGTGTGCACTCAGAGCTATGGATGGCCAACCTAGGAACAAAATTCATGGTGTGTTGTTGGGTGGTAAACTCTGGATTTTTGTGACATGCAAATTCAGATTCCTAAGTTGTTCACAAGTGTTTTTTTCAGGCTACAGATGCAGCAGGTAAAGAGTGGTTTTAAAGAAGGCCTGTATGCCTGTGCTACAGTGCTGCAAAGGCAGTTGGGATACAGGGAAAATGCAGGCAAAGGAGGAGGGAATCAATCTAGTAATGAAAAAATAACCTTTTGGTGTAATTGTCCAGTGGACAAACTATGAGCAGACATCAGGTAAGCACTGTTGGTCTTCTAGAACAGCTGCCCTTCATTTGGAAGGAGCCTGTGTATGAGACCTGGCTGATGGGTTTGCCTACCGTGGATGCTTCTTAATGACTTTACGCATTGAATAAATGTCCAGATCATACTTTACTTAAAGTATCCAGCCTGATGTTTCCTTCTGCTTGCTTCTCTTTGCTTCTAGAGCTTCTGTAGCTAAAGGAAAAGTGGTGTTCACTACCAAGGATTCTTCTTCCTATGATGTAGCCCTGGTAGAATTAGAGGAAAGCTTACCCACATTTGCAAAGCCTGTTCTAGCATCTGAGTTTTGTACAGGTAAGAGCTGAGCAGTCCATTCAGCTTCTTTTGATGGAACCCAAATGATTTTGCTCTCATATGTTAAGCTTGCCTAAGAAACTCAAGTTCTTTAACATTCTGGCTATTGTATTGAAAACAATGTGCCTGAAGTCTTTTCTCTGAATAGCCTGATTAGCTGGGGAAATGCAAGTCTTAAGCATATGGAAGTGGGTGCCTCAGGGGTTCTGTTGCCCGAAACGAATATGTGCTGTTCCACATGCGCCCCTGCCTTTGCACGTCTTTGCACAGGGTGGATAAAAATCAATGGTTTTACAAAAAATTAAAAATCAGACCTTTGAATTTTAAATTGGATTTTTAATTTAAATTGGATTTTTAAAAATAACATGCTTTGTGTGGAAAAATCTTATCTAATGATAGTTTACTATAGTTATTAGTTACATTATAGTCCAAAGCTTATTCCTCATGAAACGGGATTAATTTTTAATTATGTAGCACGAGGTTGCATATTCATGCAATGTTTGGATTGTTTTGGTAAATGAATTCATTTAATCTGTTCACAGTGTTGTGCTCTTTCAGAGGTTTCTGTAAGATTATTAGGGATTTTTTCTATTTAGAAGATATTATCACAGATTGCTTTGTTTTACAGTTCTCAAAACTGTGAATTTGTGTCTGAAGAGATCACTTGCTCTTTTTTACAGCAAAAATGTTATTAAAAACATACAGAGTTGAGAAAAAGACCTTAATCCCATTTTTCCCTTGCAGATCTGTGTACACAGAATCAGTCCATTATCTCTTAAGTGCTAAGTTCAGAGAATTCAATGAATAGTAGAAGATTTTTGGAAGTGGAATAGATCTGCACAAGAAGCTAAGCATGGGGAGAGAGGGGCAAGCAGTAAAAATGAACGGGAAAACCTTTTGAGCAGAATACTTCACAAGTCTTTGAATCTTTTTGTGCATAGCCTGAGGTTTATCATATTGTTCTTTCCCTGGGGAAGAAAACCTATAATGGCAGCAGGCCATGAAAGAGACCCAGTTTGGGAATATTTTAATGAAGTTCCTCTACCTATGGGTAAGGCAGTCATGTGTGCAAATTATGTAGAAATCCCTGATTTAAATTTAGTCTTACTGACTAGTAAGATTAAATTTAGTCTTACTGACTTAAATAGATTTGATTTAAATTAAATCCATCCTGACACATCCCATGCTGTCATTTCAGAATCCTGATTGTTAACTATTTAACTTCAGAACCTATCGCAACTGAGTTCGAGACACCCCAATGGATGGTTCAACAGGCAACCAGGCAGACATGCCTTAAAAGCTTTTTTTAGCAGAGTGATCCTGTGGTGCTCTGTAGGATTGTTCAGATTCCCAGCTCTGAGGTCAGAACACAGCTCTGCGCTTGGAACTGGGGATCCATTCTTAGAGTGCCCCCCTCCAGTAGCTGGCTTAGAAAGTTCCATCACAGGTGTGTCTCTGAGGCCATAAAAGCAACCTTGGAGGGGGTAACTGCACAGGGTAGGGAGGGGAGGAGACTGGAGCTGCCAAAAGCCAACCTATCCTAGCCACATCTCAACCTCCTTTGCTCCCCATCCAAAGTGGCATATTTAGACAGCTGAAATTGGCCATCTAGCTGCTTCACAGGGTTGAAGGAGTACAGGAATGACCTTTGCTTCTGCACTTCTCCACCCCATGAAGGTTGCCTGTAAGCATCCTAGTCTGAAGTGTTACGGGCAGCCTCCTTGGGTTACACCTAAGGAAATGAAAAGATGATTTAAAAAAATAGCATAGGGGGTAACATGAGAATAATGTTTGACAAATCTGGCACTACAAGTATAGCAATGTGAACTTCTAGCATGGTTGTTGGTCATTGTTCATATGATTCTGCCTCAGCAACTCCTGTACTTGCATTTTAAAGCTAAACGAATCCTTCCCTGTCTAACTTTCTCCTATGCGCTACTTAAATGTAAGAGACTAAGTTAAAGCATTAATTATAAATAGCTAATGTGGCTAAATGGATGTGACACCCAGTGTCTCAGGCAAGAATGCAATGACGAACTGGATGGCCCCAAAGGAGCCGATGAGTGCATCATTATCGTCTGTTTCACAAGGGATTAGGGATCTCACGCTACACTTAACTGAGCAAAAACTGATGTTCTGAGAATATTTGACAGCACAACGTCTCTTTAATAAGGGGTTAATTAAATCCACCAATTGTTGGAGGTGTGTAATGCTGCTAATGCTTCTCTTCTTTCTATGTTTTTGCAATGCCCAATGGCAGCTTTCTTTTGGGATGAGGTGATAATTCAGATAAATCTTATGAAGGAAAGTACTCAATATTCGACAATGTACATGTTGCTTTGGATTACATACCCATCTCTTGGAATCTAATGAAAGGTCACTTGACCTTTCCACCTTCTCTTCACAACTAAAATACTAATATTACAATATAAACAGCCACCTGTAACAACAGAATGGGTAGAAGATTTAATGAAAGTTTTGATTTTTGAACGGCACAACTTAGAAATGGATAATTAGGTGGATAATTGTGTTATCTTTGTCAAAGTATATGCATAACTATTGTTAATAACAATAGTATCTTCTGTTACATACTAACATATAGGGATACAGAATATAAATGTAACTGTCTTCGCTTGGCTTTTTCACTCTGGTTTGTTCCTCATCCAGGAGAAGATGTGTTTGTTGTTGGTTTCGGGGTCTTTGGACAAGCCTGCGGCCCGTCAGTAACCTCTGGGATTCTGTCGGCTGTGATCCGTGTGGAGGGTGAGCCTGTGATGCTTCAGACCACCTGTGCAGTTCAGGGGGGCTCAAGCGGGGGAGCCCTCTTTGCCACATCCAGTGGAAAACTTCTAGGTATACAGCGTATGCATACAGCATATATCTTTTATACACATGCATCACTCACTCACTCCTCTTCTTTCCCTGTTTCTCATTATCTTGTGGTCCAAGCATAGAAATTGGTTGTGGAGTTCTGTATTCTGAGACTCACACCCTTTTCTAGCCCTTTGTGCAGAAAAGTTTTTAAGACTGTGTACGTAACACTTGGTGAAATCAAGGGCATGGAGGTGAGCATGATTTCCAGTTGTCAAGGCCTGTGATAGATCTTCACCATATTTTTAACATGTTAGGTCTGAAAATTGAAGATAAATCCTGAACAATCAGGATTGGGTTTCTAGAGTGAGCAAGTGTTTCACTGCCTAGGTCTGCCACTTCCTCTTTTTTCTTTCTTTCTTTCTTTCTTTCTTTCTTTCTTTCTTTCTTTCTTTGGGCATTTCTATCCCATCTTTTTCAATCCATGTACTAGACAGCTACTAACAGGAAAACAAGTCAGAGGCAGCCGAGACAAGCTTTACGAGTAACCTGAAATGCCCCTGAGCTTCTAAAACAAGCAGTTCAGCAGGCCAAACACTCGCTGAAAAAGAAATGCCTCTTTTCAAGAGAGGCCACGGTGAACCGCTCTTGCTAGAGCATGCCGGAGCCGAGCCCTGAGGACAGAAACGGGCCATGCAAACTGCCCTCGAGCAAGACTGTGTTCTCGGCCTACCCGTGCATTCCTAGAAGCTGCACAGTTCACAATCATGCAGTTGATCGTGAGAATTCGGCTGTGCAACAACAGCAGTCTTGGTCGCTGCTTCTCCTGTCAATGTACTGACTGTGGAAAGTCACCACATGGCCATTTTATCCCTTGATAACCATCCTAGGTGATGCGGCTCTAGCATGCTTCAGAAGATGTAGCATTTTGATTCTCCCAAACAATGGAAACCCTGTAACAATGATTTTAATTGTGCAAATCATTCTGAAGTTTTCCTTTGGTCTAATCCAGAGGTGCACAGCCTCAGCCCTGAGAATCAAATCCAGCTCTCTGGGCTTCCCCAGAAAACTCCTTCCATGGCCCTGTTTTTCATGACCACCAAAGTGGTGGCTTCTGAACTTTTGTGCATCCCCCCGTACCTGTTTGGAAAGGTTGAAATGCCTCTCCTAAGGCTTAGTTCCTGGCAGTTAAAGCTTTAAACTAAATTAGGCTGGTATTTTGACCCTACACATTTCACCTTCAGCTCCGCCCACCACTGGAATGCAGCCCCTGAGAACTTCTCCATAATGGCATTGAGTCCACTGCCTGAAAAAGGTTCCACAACCCCTGGTTTAATATTTGTTTGGTATATGCTTCTTTCTGAAATAGATGGTATTTTTCCATTTGCTTTTGGGGATGGGGTGGTGGTGTCGCCAGGCTTTCAAAGCAATTGGAAGAGTTTCAGCCTCTGCTCTTCTTTTCCCTCCCTCCCTGCATGCCAATAACAGGCATCGTTACCAGCAACACGAGGGATAACAGCATCGGAGTGACATACCCCCACCTGAACTTCAGCATTCCCATTACGATCCTGCAGCCGGCTATCTTGGAATATATCCATGAAAGAAGCCTGTGTGGCTTCCGGGAACTAGACCAGCTGGGTGACAAGGTCCAGATTGACGGGAAGTGCCAAAGAGACGCTGTGGAGGTACCACTCAGCAAGCTCTGAGGGTCTTCAGAGGAAACGTTCAGTGCTCACACACCCTGAATAAGCCGTGGTTGGGGCTGAGGTGAGAGGCTTGCAACCCACCATCATTTAGGGCTGGGAGTTAGGAGTGGACCTGGATTTCATTAGGAGGCCTGGCTTCACCTGAATTTCTGCAGGGCAGGTCCAATCCTTATTCTGTTTGAAGCAGAAGAACAAACAGCACCCTTCCCATCTACACCAGCATCCATTATATCCAAATGATTCTGGCACTGGAGGCAGGAAAATCTCATAAGCACCTTCCCTCTGACAGTAAAAATAGAACAATAACTGTACATATAATAATTAACTACCCTGAATTGACCACCCCACTCTGCCTAATAGTAAAACTAGCCCTACCTGGCTGGGCTCCCCCCCCCCCACCCACTCTTACCTAAGCCTCAAGATGTTTCCTCTTCCCATAAAGAATTCTGCCTGTTCTCCATTGTGGCCCCCTATGCACGGAACTTTCTGTTGTTCATCTCATCAAGTACCTCTTCAGAATCCACTGTTTTTCCCAGTGAAGCATTTGGCTTTATCCCTTAACCTTCTCACTCCCGTAAAATCAGTCCATTGCTTTGTACACCCATCTTCTGGCAGCCCTGGAGTTCCCTTCTCTCCCTTTTTTGCCCTCCTGCACAGTGTAAATTTAGATGATGTCCTCGAGGCAAGGACCTGTCCATTTCTTGCTTACGGTGCTATATAAATAAGTAATAACATCATGGAGGTGACTTGACATTTTTCACCAGTTGGGCTGTGCGCAGAGTCTCCTGTGGCCACCAGATGGTGCTGTCGCCATTCTGAACAAGTACATCCATTGCAATGGGCAGCTTTTGAATTTAATGGCATTGCTTCGTCTTTCACTTCAGCCTTGAGGTGCACTGAGTGCACTTGAATCCAGAAAAGTGGCTGACAAAAGTGGACACAATCGCTGGTGTCTCTGAACTTATGCTCTGCCCATGAATTTGTGTTCACAACTACAGAAGCGTAATGTTCACAGAGATTTTTTTACACAATCAATCCCTGTTTTCCACCAGATGTTCTTGGATTTTACTATCTTAATTCCTACTCCAAATGTTCTTTGTTTTTACTATCTTAATTTTACTATTTTAGGCCTACTTTTACCATCTTAATTTAGGACAAAAATGTATTTTGTTGTCACCTTTATTAAACCAGTGGTTATCAGTAATGGTTGCAATTCAAATTCAAATTTCCTGGAGGTCTACCAGCAAAAGAAAGGTGATCTTTCTGCCTGTACAGAACTAGTACTCAAGAAGAGGTCACTTCTACTTCATTTTGTTGCATTTTAATGGGGTTTCAATCAGTAATTTTCATGCATAATGGATATCTGGTTTACCAAATGGAATTACAACTTGTTTCAGCCACTGACTTCTGCTGACTCTGTGTTGGATCATTTAATGGTCAGGTCTGACCATTTCTCTGTGCAGGTCTGAACTCTGTTGATAACAGCCTTCTGAATCCTGATCCCATCTCATCTCTTAGTTGCAAGTATGGTGGTGCTTTTAAAGACCTTATGCAGGGATCCTTTTCCACTAGGGCCTTTCAGTGCAGTTTAAGCAAAAATGGCACAGATCTACCTTCCATACGCATTGATGATATCCTCTCTCCTCGTACGGCTCAGGAGTAATCCTAAGGTGCTCATAAAGCCTTTTCAAAGGGCAAAGGAAAGTGCGAGGTTGCCTTTCGCTTCTCGGCCACATACTCTTAAGGTGCAATCCTGTGCAAGCTCAGACAGGAGAAGTGTCTGAACTTACATACCATTTATTCTAATTCTGTTCATGTAGGGTTTTCTTAAAGATAAAATGAATTAGTCCTGTTTTGCTTGCAGTGCTGTCTGGTCTATGCATTCCCTTTGACAAGGCAAGGAGAAGTCATTTCAATGAGAAACATGTACTGTTACTTCTGTGTGAGCCTCTTCCTGCTTTCCTGTTTTATGCCTGTACAATACCAAACTGCAAAATGTTGTGAATCAAATGTTACTGCTCCAGTAATTAAGAAGGTGTATTTCTCCTGTATTGTGATTGTACACAGCTTGTGGGGTAGAAATGGTGATGGTTTGCCAAAGTTCTAACACAGCTGTTCCCCATCATCCCCTTTCCAGATAACTTGGACTACAACTCCCAGCATTCCTGCCTATGCTAGCTGGGACTGATGGGAGTAGGAGTCCAAAAATATCTGGAGGGTATCAGGTTAGGGTCAATCATTCTATTCATGCTACTTTCTTAATTGCAACAGGACAGGGTATGAGAAAAAATTATTCTAATAGTTTGCTGGCTATGAAGATTGTCTGTTTTTGTAACCTGTAGGGAAAGGCCATAGCCAAAGCAGTAAACACACTTTTCATGTGGACAGACAGAAATTGAATTTCTGGTTGGTGGCAGCATAGACGAATATATGACATAACTGTGTACTCATAGAATCCATTGGTTCCGAAATGAAGATTAACAAGGTTTTAGGAATGGACGATAGTGTGTGTGTGTGTGTGTGTGTGTGTGTACACAGTATCCGCTTATTTCCTGGCCTTCCAGAGTTGTGACAAATGTCCAAAAGGAGCACATGACTCTTAGAAGAAAATGAAGACTTCTTGAGAGCCAAAAATATCTCTGGCTGTAGAACTTCTAGCCATTGCACAAAGGAGAGATGATCTTGGGTGTTTAAAAAAATGATACAATTAAGGGTCAGTTGTGAGTCCTTAGCTGAATATAACTTGACTTCTCCTCCTCAGCAGACGCGGTATGATCAGGTGGGGTGCCTGCATTTTCTGCTCCCATCAATCGCGTGTGGGATTGTTCCTTATCCCTGCAATGGATCTGTTGTTCAGCCACTTCTCCCACCAGCCAACATAGCCTTTGGTGAGGGATTATAGGAGCTGCAACCCAACAACATCCTGAAGTCCGCACATTCCACATCCCTGTTCAATACAGGCGTTGGTGTCCTGAAACTTACAACTTTAATTCTGAAAAAAGTCTCTGGCTCTTAAGATTGCAGAAACAGGCTTGCAGTATTCACGTATTCAATCGTTTGGTGAAATGATTAAAATGAGGTGATGTTTTCAGTTTTTCTCGCAGTTCGTATCGAGTGCCTTGCTCAATTTTTGCTTTTCTCTGTTCCACTCTTGATTTTACTTCCATACAATTAGCACATGCAGAATAAAATATGAAAAATAAAAACACGCATACAGAGATGTTTGATGTCAGTAAGTTACATAGCCATAATCTTCTGTTGGCATAGAGTGTTGATTTTGTGAAGCGCAACGCCCTGGTCCAGCTAAGAAGACGTCTATAAATAAACTGGCTTGATGAGACATGCCGCTGGCTAAACGGGGGCCTGGGATGTGAATTCACGTGTGCATTCAGGGTGGAAATGCATCCATAACTGCTCCTTTGGATGGACTGGCATTTCAAAGTGCCTCTGAATGCATACTGCCTGCTACATCCTGGGTCACCTTAACCCATGTTAGCATCCTGTGACATGTGCCTAGGCCTGGCGCAGACTCAGAATATATGCAGCTGTGATTATTGGTTACTGGTTTATCTCTCTTGTGGCAGACCGGCAAAACACACAGTTTTCAGATGAGTTACTTTCTCACTAGAAAGTGGTGGGTACATCCTAACATTTGACATGTCTGTTTAGGATTAAGTCCCATGACTTACTCCCAGGGAAGTGGCTATAGTATTGCAGGCGTCTTAGGGTGCAATGCTTTTAGCCACGTACCTGTTCTTTTGAAAGTACCTTTTGCCATCCATAAAGTAATTTCAGCTGATTTAATTTATAGAATTTCTGAACTGTGCTGGATTAGGTGGAAGGTCCATACATCTAGTCAAACACTGTGTTCACAGAAGGGCTAGCCAGCCGCCCACAGGAATCCCACAAGCAAGATTGGACCAGCACCTGCCTGGTTATTGATCCCTGGTAGCATGTAGCTATCAGGACTAGTACTATTATTGCTAAATGGATCAAGGTGACTATTGTTGTAGTGAATTCATTCACAGAACTAGATACTCTGTTAAAAGCAAAGAATTCCCGGTTCTCTTATCTTCGAGGAAAAAGTCCCAGCTCAGTGGCAGATGGAGGCTGTGAAGGAAGCAAGTAGGAAGACCTCTCCTGGGAACCATTGCATTGCTCGGAAAACAAGAGCTGGGACCGATTTATTTAACACACGTCTTCTCTGGCAGTCTGAACAGCCTCAGTTGCAAGGAGCCTCCTGGGTTGACGTCGGACAGGAAGGTCCAGTTCAGGTACAGCTTGTGAGGGGACGGCCAAGGCTCGCTCTGCTCCGGTGTGTGAGCTGAGCTTGTCTGCTCTTGCGCCCTCACCTTTCTCATTTTTCTGGCAGGAGAAGCAAATCACCCAGCTCTAGGAGAGGCTTTCCACAGTCCTGTTATAAGTGCAGAGAAGAGCAAGCAGCCTCACCCCCCCCCCTCCAGGGCCCTCGATGCCCGTCAGCACGTACAATGAGGAGCTGGAGGTGTGCTGCTCCAAAAAGGCAGGTTGTTCACCTACAACAGTCATTCTTTGCATTTGAGCAAACCTACCCTCTTCCTTTTCTTCTTTGGTGTCGTGCCAAGACGGCCCAATTGTCCCCTCTGAAGGGGAGGTCCCCCCTCCCTGGGGGACCTGCTTCTTGGGGCCACAATGGCGATCTCACAGCTATTAGAACTGAAGATCAGGAAGGAGCCCCTCCCTCACGCCTATTTAGCTTCGCGATCTTCCCTGACAGGTTCTGCACATAAGCAGGTGTGTGATGCACAGAGACTAAGGAGAAGAGACCTTTGATGTCGACCAATACTGGGTGAAATTATTTGATATGCCCACCCAGGCACTACAATTTTATCTTCATATATTGCTGTTTATATCTATTCTTACATACGACAAGCTTTATACAGTGGCCATTGTTTTTCCTCTGTGTTACAGCTTTTAATAACTGGATCTGTGGTACGAATGACACAAGGGAAAAAAAGAATGAGACAGACTGCAATGCTTCCTATTTGCAGAGCGACTCAAGTATCCATTAGGGGGCAGCCTGGTCCTTTACCGGCTCTTCTGCCCTGGTGGCTCATGGTGGATCAGATGTATAGGCCAGACAAACGGTGTAATCAAAGCACAGATGGGATTGCTACCCTTTCATGGACACACGCCAGGCACCAAATCTACTTAGTCTGTTTTTTTCCCCCCATTTGCTTTTTTCAGAGCTTTGCAATGACTAGGTTCGAACAATGTGATAATCCACACGCAAAGGTTAAGCATAGGTCAAATGTGGGTTGTCACTGAATGCACATTTGGTGGTTGTTGGAATCTGGATAATTGTGTTATCAGAACCCAGTGAGTGTTAGTGGGAGTTCCTTCATGTTTTAGCTTCCTCCTGCAAGTCTCTAATATTTAACTGCCTTAGTAGTTCAGGGTGGGAAGAGCAGATATATCTTGTTTCCTGGAGTAAAAAGCAAGCATGTGAACATTAAAGTCTTTCCACAGCTTCCCCTTGATGCCCTGTAACTGGGAATGCTAATTCTGAACTATTTTTTTTAAAGAATAAAAACATTTAAACTAGAAACACTAGCAAAGAACAATCTTTTGAATCAGCTCAGGATTCATTGGCAACATAATCCTACGCCTGTTTACTCAGAAGTATTCTGTCGTATGTTGAATGATGTCCACTCCCAGGTATATGTACATAGGATAGAAAGATCCCAGGATATTTTAAAAAGAATCAAAGTTAGAAGAACATTAACAATAGTTATTAAATGCCTTAACAGCCGTTTAAAAAGCCAAGTTCAAAAGAGTAACAACAAACAGAATATTCAGCAGATGGAGCTGTGACTCCTTAATATGCATGAGGGAGGAGGTTCAGGAACACAAGCTCTTTCATCTGTGAAATACTGAAAGGTTATGATCTCCAAATCCCTGACTATTGGGGGGATACAAAATGAAATAATTGCACACATCTCTGGTGCTTGGACTGGCCCACCCATTAGAATGTGGTGGTTGCCTCAGAAGGCAGATGCTGGGGCTGACGAGCCGCAGAAAGGGGGATGCTGGAGGACAGCTGCATGTGCCCCTCAGCCTGCCCTGTGCCCCCTCACCTATTATGCTGCCCTGCTGTAGGCGCTGAAACAAGGTTTACTCTGGTGGAGTTGTGTGTGTGGGACAGGAATCCACCTTCTGGGCCTTTCTTCAAGCACCACCATGGCCAGGCTTGTCTGCCGTGAGAAACCATACCGTGCTGTTTCACCATTCATGTGGCAGCGCCGGAAAGATAATAGGGCTCAGCGTGGTAAATCTCCCATCTGCATTATCTTCCCTCTCAGTCCTCCAGTTGGGCATCCCGGGTGCTTTACCCATCACCAGGTGTTCAGAGATAAAAGCAAGCATCACTTAGCCAATGAGTGGTCATGGAGGTAAATTTGTAAAAAATAAAAACTGGGTAATGTTGGGTAATGTTTATGTCTTTTTACTTTTAAAAATTAGATTTATAATTATAAATTAGCTTTATAACCATCTGAGTGGGATGGTGTAATGTGGTGTCCTGTGTTGGGAAAATATGGATGAATCCTGGCAGAAAAAAGTTGCTTATGTGTGCTTTTGTGTTGTAAAATCAAGCTTGCTCTCTTTCTCAGAAGCACTGGCTTTCCAAGCCAAGCCACTGTTTGATATTGCTGTAGCTTTAAGAAAATGGCACTCTTCCCCCTCCCCTCTCCCTCATCTTGCTGTAAGCCAGAGCAGAAAGGCCATTCAGTCAAATACACAATCACTGCTACAATGTTGCTGCATAGTCCTTGCAGGAATTCACACTTTACAAGGAAATATCTAGTTTGCTAGCCCAGAGCGCTCCATGTGCTATAGCCAATCAGAAAGGTGCGGATCCATTACTCAGGGTCTGAGTCTTCCTGATAATGGAATGCAACAAATGACCTTACAAGTTCATGAATGGTTTCTCAATAGTCAGAATTTACATGTCTAAGCAGACCTGGAGATGGGTTCAAGTTTCTGGAATTTACCCAACTGAAATGTCAATACACTGCAATTAGAAATAGTGTAATCTTATTGTCACTGGTATGTGTTGCTGATCTTCCTTATTTGTTCTGTATATAATGACCTCAGAATTTCATTGTAATGTCTGCATTCTGTCATTAATTGCTCTGCACCTGTGTACGTGATCTAGAGAATATAAAGCTCACTGTACTTGTATTGAAACCTCACAGCTGAGTTTGCCTCTGCCCAGTGATGCATTATCGTGAGTAAAACCTGCAGGGAACCTGGGCTTATGTCAATAAAGCAGCGGAGGTTCAAACGTTTGATCTTTTCCACAACCCGAGTTTTTATTTCCTCCTCACAAATTGAAAACCAAGATTCTGTCACCTGCAACAGCAGGGGGTTGGACTTGATGGCCTTCATGGCCCCTTCCAACGCTACTGTTCTATGATTCTATATCCCACCCCTTTAGGCAAAAAGGGCTCTCTGGAGTCTAAATTCCAGTCATTCATACTGTAGGGAAGATAAAGGCATGGACTCACTCCAGAAGAGAGGACTAAATTCTTTTACTAGCCATCTCACACCCAGTGTCTAGTTGACCATTTGAGTATTGAGTAAGGTTTGAGCGGCTGGTGCTCCTTAAGGCAAGATGGGTTTATGACTGAAGTGGTGTATGGCCCAGGTGAAATGGCCGGAGACAAGAGAGAAGGTTGCCAGCTTCTTGGACCACCCCTGCTCCTATGCCTTTCAGTGCAACTGAACCAGCAGCTGCTCCCAGGCAATGTTTGCTGACAGACCCAGGCTCATTCATGGGAACATTTATGGCATAGAAATGTAATAATGATGATGATGATGATGATGATGATGATGATGATGATGATGATGTCGCTAAGGAGCATTGCCTGCAAATACCTGTATAGGAGGCTCCTGAGAAAGGCAGAAGTGCAACTTTCTTCTGGTCAGTTGGGAACTCTGAGTGTCTGGAGGATTGGATTGTGGCTGGGAAAAACACCTCCTCCCCGCCCCCCCCCCCATGCGGAGGTGTTTCCAAGGAAACAGGCATTGAACCTGCATCTCCAGATTGCTTCTCCTTCAGTGGCTGTGTGAAACACCTCCAAGGAATGAACAGGCCGATGTGCCTGCGCAGGCTTGTGAAAAGCTTTAGGCCCGGAGTACCATGTTTGCAACCAACGATGATGCTTTAGTCTATGAAAG